CATGTAGCTCAATGTGGTCTTGAGTCCTGGGATTAAAGGTGTGTACTACTACTGCCTGATCTCTATAGTTTCTGGCTGACTTTGCTTTCTGAATCCTCAAGCAAGCTTTAATAAATCATAAATAATATATCACTACAATGGTGAAGTTGACCCAGTTCTGTCGGACATGTGCATGGGTATGATTCTAGTGTTGTGGAGGGACATTGCCTAGCTCCTAAAGTCAAGTCTTAGACTTGGACTATTCTACTAGCAGCAGGTGTGGTTTACCATGCAGGCCTACTTGGAGTTGGGGAAGGGGTGAGATGAAACTCTTTCCTGCTTCTCCTTCTTGTTGTTTTTACATAAGAAAATTAGAGACTATGTCACATGATATCCTTAGCTCTTGTGAAGTTAGTTTAGTGGGAGGTGTTTACAGGGAGAGTCCCCTGAAGGATCTTAGCCATCATCTTGGCTGCATTTACAAATTAAACTTTACTTTGTTAAAAGTTCCTTTAAAGTTTAATTATGGGCCAGATTAAGTGTAGGAGCCCTAAATTAATCCGCACTCAGTAATTCTCAACCAATAATTTTGGCATGTATGCAGACGTATAAAGTTAGACCATCTCTGTCTTCTCTGGCCTTCTCTTCAAATATCCGTTTAAAGGAGTAAACTGTAGCAAGCCATACATATATGTTGTACTGTGAACTTTCTGTCTCTGTTTTCTAGTACAGCATAATAATACCTAAATAATCAATCAATAAGTTGATAAAATCTGTAACACTAAGAGTCCAAGTAAATAGGAAGGAGGAAAAGAAAGAAAGCAAATCTAATCATTTATTCATATCAGGATTTCCAAAATCTTTCCTGAGTAAAGGGATTGCTGCATTTAGCAATTATTTCCACAGCAAGAAGTCCCTTGGTCATGTTGATTGACATGTCTTTCCTTGACTCAGATTTACAGCTAACTGTAGCTCAGCTGTCCTCATAGTCACTGATTTTTGCAAGGAAATAGTCACCTGAAAACCATCTTTATTTGCTAACTCAATGTGAATCTTTTCTCTCCTATCTTCACTTGTATTTCTGAGATACTCACTTATTCCAAATGTGGCCAGCTGGGCCAACAAGACTCTATTCCACTTAGAACCGATATTTGTGCTGTCAGGGTAAGTTTTCTATTCCCACTTAGTTGGCTGTTGGCATTATGATGAACTTAGGCCAGGAATAAAGAAACAGAACACAGGCAGGGAGATTGTGGCTTCCTACTCTATTAGTATAGATCATTATGATTTTGAATTGGGTCATATGAGACAAAAGACAACTGTCTTTTTCTGTAGGTCAATTTGAATAACACATCCTCTCACTTACAATGGACAAGCCTGTTTCAGGATGCTGTGCTTTCCTTGATAAAATATCTGAATGTGATGTTGCCATTGATTCAGCACCAGCCTTTCGCAGAATAATCCTTGTGTGCAGGAATACCTCACTTGTTCAGAGCTGTTTCCACAGTACATGGGACAAATGTGATCTACTATTACAATTTACTAATACTATGTGTCAGAGTAGTAATCCAAAACCAAGTGCTCTCTTATCCGTGTTTCTAAATGTTAAATAGGCTAATACCATGGAACTAATCAGCTGTATGTGAAGGAAAGCTATGGTTTCTCTCAACATTACACCGACATACACAATGAACATTCTACTCTAGACCTTTCACAGGGTTTGACATTGTCTATGGTCTCAACCATGAATAAAAACAATGCCACTTTCTTGACTATATGAATATGTGGAATCATTTCTCTGAACTTGTTTGCTCGGCAGTAGAAAGTGCTGACCTCAAGGGTAGACACTTGTGAGTAGCAGGTTCTTTGTAAATATAATTCTTGCCAGTACACAGGACCTAAGCAGATAGTCAGAAAAGAGGGAATAAGTAGTTTGAAAGTAGCATGCTTGGAGTGGATAAAAACAAAGGCCAGGGCTGCATAACACTGACATTTTTATTAGAATTCATTTGTAACAAATGGAACCTGTGTCAGCAAAGAACTGATTTTCATACAGACTTCTTTCGCCACCAATGTAACGAAGTAAGAAAATAAAAAGCACGCCTTTCATTCTGTAAAACACTTACGCGTACTACTAATTAGAGGTAATTGTATTTTTTAACAAGCCATTTTACAAGTTTTTTTTTTTTTTTGAGTTTTCAGTCTATGCATCCAAAACGAGAGCAAAGAACACAACTGTTATCTTTGTAAAGACACTCCAAGCTTGGATGGCAAAGCCATGTAACGGATGGATAGGATGGATCTGTAGCCTTCTGATCTCTGCTGGAGTATCAGGGCACCCATATACCCAATGGAAATCAAAACCCAAAAAGAAAAAAAAATGGGAAGGGGATTTAAAAATGACAAGAAAGACAGAAACAAAGCTAAACCAAAACTCAGCAGGAAAGAAAAAACCGTGTGTGCTACTATGCATTTTTCCTTTCCTGTTGTGATATGTTATCCACAGACACATAAATGAATTTCTGAAGCAGTTTCTTACAGATGGGTTCAAGTAATAACATTATTGGGTGTAGAATCAATAGGGCAGTGCATAGTACAAAGGTATAGAAAGTGCAAAGTTCCCTAGAGGCCCTTCCCTCCCCTGGCTGTCCTTGCCTTGTCTAACCATGCAAACCATTTTTAAAAAAGAGCTAAAATAAAGTTCTGTACAAATCACTTTTATATATTTGATATTTTACCATTGTAACTAATTACAAAATTATACATAACTACACATACATAGGTAAATAATAGCACCGTACTGGTTATGATGATGAAAAGAACTAGAAACTTGGATGTTTATGATAATGGCAGATAATGGTGTTTGCCTTGGAAATTAAACTTGAATGGTCATAGAGAAAAATACAGAGTGGAATGCACATCAATGACAGTGGGGAGTTAGTTCTAGGAACAGCTCCTGATTCTGAGAAGTGCCCGCCTCATCCTCCAATGGTATGTGTCCCATTCATGTTCTTTTGGTGATTCCTGTCATCTCTCCCTCTGCCATAAGGGCAGCTTTTGTTGCAGAGAGACAAACTGCTCACTGGCCAGTCATTCTGGTATGTGATATTCCATTAGATCCCACATGTCCAAAATGGCATGTCTAGATGATGCAATACCTGTCTGACTCCCTTTGTCTCACTAAAACAAAATCACAGCACTGAGCAACCTGGCACTTGGATAAATCTTCAGTGATACAAGTGAAAAGAAAACAACAGACCCACATAGTGCACATTCTTCTCTGGTTCCGATGTAGGTTAGAGAGTCTCATTCTGAGGTAGCCTTCTAGATTCTTTTTTTTTTTTTTTTTTAGTGTTATATATATTTCTACTTTTTCTTTTTTTGTTCATTTTTTCATTTTTTTTTTTTACAAAAATGCTCAAATAAGATACTTGCAAGTGTTTGGTCTCTAGATTTTTATTCTGCTAATAATGGGAAAAATATGAAAACAAATACCCTTCCATGCAGAACATCATGAAGCTAAAATTCAACCAAAATATTATACCTGTATCAAAACTCTTTCAGAGTTCTTAGGACTTGGGGAGGGTACTTTAAAATCATATAGCTTGTGGCAAACTCATGCCACCATCCATGGCTTCCTATGGAAATGCTGTTGGAAGGTTTGGGGAGATACATACATATACAGATACATATACATATGTATATCTATCTATCTATCTAATTTATTGCCCCTTTCAGAAAACTCCTAATGGAATATCAAATATATCCCGAAGTTGTTTCCTTAAATAAGACTGGTGGTTACTGTATGCTCCAGAGCAGATTTAGAAGGGATTAGAAGTGAAACAAGTTGCTCTTCCTGATGTGACAATGACAAACGGAGAGGCCCTGATTTTCCAAGTGCTTTGGGCTTGTACAATCACTAACATCCCCCACTTGGCTGAAAACTAGGAATGCATATTATTCAAAGAGTTTATATACATGTGGTAAACAGATAATGCTTTAATTGAAAGAGTAACAGACGTGAACAACTAATGGAAATCAACCAAAAGGTAAAAACAAATGCTATTAAAATAGGCATCAATTATAAGGCACTCTAAATGCAGAAATAAAACCAAAGCAAACAGCCCAGCGCCTCCCAAGAACGCCACAGCTACGAGGAACAGCGCAGCGTCTCCCAGGGATGCTGCAGCCACAACATGTTTCTGACTGAAAAGAGTAACATGAGTTTGGCTTTGCCCCTGTTACATATCATAAATGCAAATTTCATAGCACATACTATAGACAATATATGATTGAATATACTTTTTTTAAAAACAACTTGATAGCTGATATATTACAACATTCTTCCCTCCTAAAGGGATATGCACTGACCTTTCCCACATGCACACCTCTTATATTTTTAACAATTGTTATTGCACTAGAGTGGTAGAAACATTGCCTTTTGTTGGAAGCCTGGCTAACAAAACAGTATTTGTGAATATGATCGGGTAGGTGGGGAATGCAGGGCAGGAAAGTCAGGGGTGAGATTTAATAATCAATGATGTGCACTCCTCAATTCCCTTTACAAATTAAAGTTTGGAAATATTAAAAATAACTTGGAAAAGATGGTTACAATCACTTTTTACACATTAAAAAAATTAAACCTTGGAAGAACTGAATGGCAGTTAAATCTTTGTGTGGACATACTGTTTCTATATATAGATAGATAGATAGATAGATAGATATCCTTAGATATCCTTAAAATATAGATATCTATCTATCTATCTATCTATATATAAATGTTAGCAGCAACTTTATACTTTGCGCTTCCCTGTTGATTCCAAAACAAAACTGAACAAAATTCCCCTTGAAGCTTGCAGAGAATGGGCACGTTCTCATCAGTTATTCCAAACAAATGTGTAAGTAATATCTGTTGAGACAGATACTGTAGATTGAGTGTTGCACAAAAATGTGCAAAGTTTCAAATTATTTGATATTTCTACAGTAAGATGTTACAGATAACCATTCTACAGCTTAAAAAAACCCTACAGTTCAGAAATAAAAAATGAAGAATTACATAACTTTGTAAATTTACCTTATCGAATGATACATTTGTTTTTTTGTTTTTTTTTTTAAAAAAAGTTTACACAGTTAGAAATGAAGCACAGGTCAGCAGAATCTTTTACAATACTAAAATGAAATCAAGGGCTTTCTTTTTAAACATCTCCACCCTTACCCCTAAAATGTTAAGTATGAGTGGCATGGGGAAAGGTGCGATGTTGAAGCAGAGTCCACCTTATAGTGAGAAGCCACACCAGCAAACGCTTTGTGCTGAACTGAGGCCCACAGGCAAGCTCTCTCTGTCCCTACCAAGCGATCTTGAACAAGATGGTAGTTCTTTGCTGTCATTTCTTCTTCCCTTTATTTTGAATCCTTGAGGTATCTGCAAATAAAATCCTTCAGATGCCTCCAAAGTCAGAGTTCTTGTTATTATTTTTCAGGTTAGATGATTAAACTGTGAATTCTTGGTCCACTTGGAAGAGTTTGTTTTTGTTTTTGTTTTGTAATAGTCCCACTAAGTGGCTGTTAGCTAGAAGTTAAGAAGGACTTCTCAAGTGCCCTGTATGGCTCAGAAGAGACTCCATGGATAGCGAAGGGCCTGTAGTAAAAATCCGGAAGGGGGCAGGGGTTTCTACGTTGCATAGTGATCAAAGCTGCCCAGGTATTCTAGTGCGGCTCGATAGCAGAACTGGTATTGATCCTGCAGGACACGGTGTGAAAGGGGAGAGATGAAGAAAATTGGCATTTTAATTAAAAATCAAAGCAGCAATGTAAAGAAAAAGTTGTATCTATAAGGCAGCAAAACTACCACTTTAGTTTAGTCTGATGACCAAGCAATAGTGAGCAAAGAACAATTAACCATGTGAGGGTTTTATTAACTTTACCAATCAACCTGGCTGATACAAGGCTCCTAATTCCAACACATAATACCTCCAGTGAATATTATCCTTCTTCTTCTGTATTACAGTATCTTTCCCAATGACCTAAGTATCTGTGATAATTTTTAGTTGGAATAAATGTAAATTTTTGTAAAGGCAATCTGGATTTATATTTTCTGGGTTGCTTTCAAAAAAAAAAACAAAAAAATAAAAACAGAAAAATGAGAAGCAGGCAAGATGGCTCACTGGTTAAAGGCACTTGCCTCCAGGTCTGAGGACCTGAGCTTGATCTCTGGGATCCAAATGACAGAATGAGAGAAATGACTTTCACAAGTTGTCCTCTGACCTACACACATGCTGTCTGTGGCATGTGCACTTTTGCTCCAACTCAAATAAAAGAAAAAAATGTACAAGAATCAGATCAGACATCAGACTCAATTTGAATTACCATCATGTCAGATAGACCCATGCAAATGACAGGGGCAGAAATATCCCATGTGTCTATGAGAAAGAAAGTTGTGCTGGGTAGCTTTATGTAAATTTGACACAAGTTAAAGTCATCTGCAAGGAGGGAACCTTAATTTAAAAAATGCTTCCATAAGATTGAGCTGTAGGCAACGTGTAGGACATTTTCATAATGCGTGATTGATGGGGAAGAGTCCAGCCCATTGTGGGTGAAGCCATCCTTGGACTCTTGGTCTTGGGTTCTATAAGAAAGCAGGCTGAGCAAGGCCAGTAAGCCAATAAGCAGCATGGTCCCTACATCAGCTCCTGCCTCTAGGTTCCTACCCTGATTTAGTTCCTGTTCTGACTTCCTTCAATGAGGAACAGTGTTGTAGAAGTGTAAGCCAAAAAAGACTTTCTCCCCAACTTGCTCCTGCAGGATGTTTTGTTGCAGTAATAAGAACCCTAACTAAGACAGAAGTTAAAGGTAGCTGTGTAGAAGTACACAATGGGGCCTTGGGCTTTCTGGCTTGTCTCCCCTGAGAATGGCTGCCCACATCCAAAATACATGCACCATTTGTCCTAAAATTCAGTGTGATTGCAAGGTGTCTGTTCTAGAAGACTCATACCAAAATAGAACTGCATGAAACATGCCTTTTCTCACACAAGGAAGGGCCCTGTCATATTGAAATAAATGGGAGCATTGTTGGGGAGATGGAAAAATTACAATTTACAGATAACCACAGGGATGAGAAAGAGTAGGATTTTCCCCATAAAAGAAACTTATTTTCAGTAGCCAATGGGGCTGAAAGTAGATAGCTTCTATTTTGCTTAAATGTGCATTTTTTCTACAATAAAAATGGTAATGCAAAATAAATGGAGTTTGCTTTTCTGTCTTGTCACAGTGAGTTGCTTGGCTAAGTGTTAAGGCTTTTTAAATGTCCAATTTCCCTCTGTCACCCCAACACGAATTATGTTTGTCAGGCTGACATAATGTTTTAAGTACTGCAAGCCAAATGCTTGTACTATTTTGAAATAAAAATCTGAAAGATATTGTAAATTGAAGAACACGTACAAATTGTATAATTTGGTAGATATTTGAGGAATATAAACATTGCCACTCTGATTCTCTAAATCATGAACTCATACTTAGACATGTACATATTAATTAGTGAAAAGAAAATGGCATTTTCAGGCTCCAAACATTTAATATGGCCAGTGGTATGGAATGGAATAAAAGCACCTAGTGTAAGCAAACAGAACAGTAAAAGTAGCTGTTGGAATATTACCTGCCAGACCCTGGCTTTTTATGTATCTACCTACAATTAGGTACGAGGTTTTCATTAACACACACACACACACACACACACACACACACACACACACACTCAAATACACCCACAATTACTTTCTTCTTCGAGAGAGAGATAGAGAGAGAGAGAGAGAGAGAGAGAGAGAGCATATAAAATAGGTATTGTATAGAAAAAATATGCTAAAAATTTAATTGATTTCAACTTAATATAGAATCTTCTCAGCAACTTGAAGATTTTGATTTGGTCTGTACATTTAAAGAATGGGGCACTGTGGTTTTAAAATATTAAGTAAACAACTGGATGTTTTTCCCATAGTGGTCTTCTGTATTTTGCCAGTGTATTTTGTTTTTTTGGTTTTTTTTTTTTTTTTTTTTTTTTTTTTTTTTTTGAGACAGGGTTCCTCTGTGGCTTTGGAGGCTGTCCTGGAACTAGCTCTTGTAGACCAGGCTGGTCTGCAACTCATAGAGATCCTACTGCCTCTGCCTCCAGAGTGCTGGGATTAAAGGCGTGCGCCACCACCACCCGGCTTTTTGTTTAAGGATTTAGGGTTTTGGAAGGTGATACCAAATGTTTTCTTACCTCTGTTTGTACCATGGCTGGTCGCTGTGTTCTTAACATTTTGACTGTCTGGAAGATATCTACAACCCCTTCATATCTCATTCTTTCCAAAACAATACTCAGTGTTATAAAGACTCCAGTTCTTCCAACGCCAGCACTGTTGTAAGAACAAAGGCAACATGAGTAACGTGGTCATAGTCTTGACCTCATTTGCTTTGGAAGCAGACATTCTACTACCAGCTTCCAAATTCCCCATTTCTCCACAAGCATATTCGAGACAAAGTGATAATTCTTTTACTACACGAGTGTAAGTAATTAGGATTGGGTCTTATTAAATAGAATGCATTTCTATAACACAGTGTAACACCAGTTGAACAGGTCAAGAAATAATATTATAAAATCAATATAGAAAAGGATGAACAGATAAAATATTCCTGTACTCTTCATGTAGATCCTGAAATTTAAGACTTTGCCTTTATGTAAACTATGAGATATATTAGAACAAGGTGGAACACATCATGATGATTCCCCCTTTCTTATACATATTCATGAAGGATATGTCATTATCTAAAAAGGTAACAAGTGTGCATCAAGGCTTAGAGAATACTTCACTATTGACATTGTGTTGGGTATGAAAAAATAGATTCTATAACAGTCTTTTTAATGGCATGCTTTTTCTCCTAGCCTTTGAGAAACTATGAATATCCTACGTGCATTGATTCTAGAAATATCCCACTATACTTCAATTCCAGGAAAGCTATAAAATTTCAACAGATTCTGAAAAGGACCTTTGACTGTACTGCTAAGAGCCAACGAGCTCTGCACTGAACTGCTTATTTTCAGGTGATCAGCAGGTAAAATATCCCAAATTTCTTGCTACTTTTCAGCAAATTTTTGAGTTTTTTTCTGTTCCCATTGATATTTTAAGATAATTCCAGAATCTTCACAGCAGCCAGGAAGAAAACTAATTGATAGCTCTTGTACTCTTAAGAAGTGACATCTGGGGCTTTAGGTAACGAGAACACTGAATAATCTGAAAAAAAAAATATCCTTTACATTTTTGGAGCTTAATTAAAAGGAGTGTGAGGAGGTTGGGCACAGAATGTAGAAAACAGATGGATTCATTTACTACAGGATGGAGCTGACAGGCATATATAAATAGTGTGTGCTTCTACAAACTGCAATTTCTCATGAATCTAAGGACTAATGCTAAGTGAGGCTTTTAATCAATGGGGAATTGTTAAAAAGGAGCTGAAGTTATTCAGCCCCAACAACAGCCAAGGGATCTTGCAGATCCCTTCAGCTCTGTGAGTCCCATACCATGAGGGTCTCTGAATTGTGACAATTTTGTCCAATCATCCAGATATTTTAGGATGTGTCTTACTTTGACTTGGTTAATCAAATATAACCCCCCCCAAACAAAAACATAAGGGTTTCTGGATTTCTACTAAGAATTTTCGAGAAAAGAACATTCATCTGCCTCATTAACTTCTAACTTTATTGAAGTTAATATTACATGTTCATTTTACATGACAGAAATAAGTGTTATTCCAGGGCATTCAAAAATAAGAAAAATATGTATCTAGAAGACTTTGAAATGTAATGAGATATGTGAATATACATGCATATAACATGGGAACCTTTGTATTAAGGGGTTTCTCAGTCATTGTCTAAAAACAACCCCAAAGCAAAGTAACACACGGCTTAAGCTTAAATTATGAATATCACACATATTCTTTCCTTAGAAGTCATACTGAGAAAGTCTGAATTAAGTGGAGAAATCATGTGCTAATATCAAAAAAAAAAAAAAAAACCAAACACAAAAACCAAAAAACTGGATGTTTCAACTCTAGTTTATAATATCAACTTTAAATCCTGGAGACCATACATCACATCCTATCTGTTCTTTAGTTGAATGTAGCAAGGGATTTTGACAGCATAAGACAAATGTTTGCAAGTCTGAGAAATAAAGCATTGTTAGAAATGATCACAGAGACCTGAAGAGAAAACAGGAGCTCAGTGTTATACATGTTCGTAAAAGTACAGATCCAGGACAAGAGTGTGACGGCTATGTCTAATTTTTCCATTTTGATGTCTTGCTTCCTATGGTATTAAAAACAATTGTTTTGAAAGTACCAGGCTTTTCATACATAAATGCTTTCAAGATTGACTATAGATATATTAAAAACTGAAACTTCAAACTTTCAGGATCCTGAAATATGGTAGTTTAAAAAGAGGGAGGTGAATTCCTATTACTATGTCTGGAACATACAGCAACTTCCATGTGCACTAAATTTATGGTGGATGTCTAAAGCGTTCACTTAGTATTTCTATTAACTTCAGTGACTTAAATTACAAAATGCTCTAGAAACTGTTGGAAATAATTAAATTGAAGGTGCTTCATTTTCTGATATAGCAACAATTTTCAAGCAAATTGCATTTTGAACTGAGGCACCATACTAATCACTTATTGACTTGCAGGAATTAGTATTGCTATTAAGGCTTGGCAGCTATTCACAGTTCTTTGCAGAGATAAAGGGAAAGATACAGAAAGGCAGTTGTCAGTGCAGCTACACAGAAAGAAAGCAAACACTGACACTGCTATACATTATTGTTAGGGGACATGCCTACAATCTTGGCGACAAAAAAAAAAAAAAAACTGGTTTCTTGTTTTGTTTTGTTTTTAACAAGGGATCAATTTGGGGGATAAAACATTTAATTCTTTTCATTTTATGGAAAGCAAAAGAACCAAATCTTTACTTCATGCTTCATAGGATGTTCTGAAAATAAATTTCAATTATACAGATTTATTCTAACAAGCTTGTACATAAAGTAAATAAAGAACAGCCATTTTCAAAGCTTCCTAGCATTAATTCTAAATGTCTAGTTAGCATTAGTGACTCCCTGCTCACCTGCAATGCACCGAAATGGGTCCATCTTGGCCAAACTGCTCCTTTGTTTTATGGACTTGGCCGATGAAGTCAATAAATCCTTCTCCAGACTTTGGCACTCCTTGTTCTGGCCAGTCAGTGAACTGGAACTGCCTCACTGTTCGGGACTGGCCGTCCTTTAGAGGGGAAGCCACATAACCAGCCATGAAGCAGCATGCCAGGAGAATTCAGCAAGGACACAAACCACAAGAGCATTCAGGATTTTTCCGCAAAAAAATGAAAAGAGAAGGAAAACATTAGGAACATGTCCAGAGAAACTTAGTTATGTGTGTGGATTATCTACTGCTAACAATGTCAACATTTAGATACATTTAAATTACAAATGTATTTGAGTTATCTTCTTCAGAAGTACTTCTGAGCCTCAAAGTTTAAATTTTAAATCAATACATTCATATAAGTCCCTCCCAAATCATATATACTCTACTTCAATCTAATAATTTCTCCAAATTGAAAGGAGCATGCAACCATGGCATCTACATCAGAGGCTTGTTGTTGTTACAATGATTTCACATCAGCCATGTATGCTGATTTCTAGCACTGTAAATGACAAATGGCAACATTCAAAGAAGCTAATATAAACCAGGTAGCTGTTGTTGACCTGGCCACCTCACATGTCTCTGAGGTAAGCACTTTCTAGCCACGTGTGAGTCACCACCATGAACCATGTCAAATGATGATTAAATTTCAGCTTAAGGACACTGTGTCAGTTTGTTTTGGTCAACTTGACACAAACCAGAGTCTCTGGGAAAGGTAGCCCTGATTAGGGAATTGTTTCTATCAGATTGTCTTGTATGCACATATGTGGGCATTTTCTTGATTAATGATTTATATGGGAGGCTGCAGCCAAAAGTAGCAGTGTTACCCCAGACAGGTGCCCCTGGGTGGTACAAGAAATCAAGCTGAGTGAGCCATGGAGAGCGACACAGTAAGTAGTGCTCCTCCATGGTCTCTGCTTCAGGTCCTGCTTCCAGGTTCCTGCTTTGAGCTCTTTCCCTGGTTCCCTTGATGAGGAACCTGTAAATCAAATAAGTCCTTACTTCCAAGTTGCTTTTGGTCAGTGTTTTATCACAGGAATAGAAAAGGAAACTAATACAGAGAGAATCCCAGGGTATTATTTGCAAGTATCTCCCCTGCTCCCTTTTTTCTCCCAAAAGGTATCCTCTTGACTGGCCTCAAAAATTAAGTAGTCCACACAGATAGCCCTAAACTTATATGAAAACAAGCCATATCTAAAACATGATAATTCAAAAAAGAAATAGGTGAACTCCATTTACTATAATGTTTTATATACACAGCAACTACCAGAAGTACTAAATTAATGATGGATGTCTAAGGCATTTGCTTGGTATTTCTATTAACTACTTTTCTAAAGAGAATATATATATATATCTCAACTTCAAACTCAAGAAGAACTATTTAAAGAAGATAAGGCATGGAGTACTTTCAGACTCTTTCTGGGATTGTTTGAAGTACAACAGCAGAAGCGAACCTTTGCTCATCCTTACAGGAATTCTTGCTGATACCCACCCGGGGAAGCTTAGCTAGACTCATGTCTGTTGGCACTGATCTCATTTGAAGAGGCGCTCCCAGTGGCTTCCTGCTTCCCTTTCTTGGCAACTAATCTTTCCTTCTAAGTTTCTTTTGTACCTAGGAATGCACATTTCTAAGATTTGTAGAAATAACCCAATCACAGGCAATTGAAAAGAGAGGTGGCTCCACTCAGGATGACCACAAATCATGTGCTCTAGTAGTACAGTAGATTCTTGAGGAGAGAACAGAGGATCACACCATCTTTGAGAGAATACAGAGGAACACAGAAAGTATTTGGTGACATCACCAGCTCCTAGTTGTTGACTATGGAAGCCTTACTTATTCCCACCTTTTCCTGGGAAAGGTTAGGAGGGCACAGGGAAGAAAGTCACAGACTGAGTGAATTTTCTTCTGAGTGTCCTGAAGATTTGACTTTTGACCATAGTCACTTGTGATGTAAAGAACAGGTCATATGCACAAACACTATTTGAAGAAACCACCTGCTTTTTAAAGGTTAGTTGCTTAACAGTAGTGTATTCTCAAATGCTTACTGGCTTTCTGAACTCAGAAGTTGAGATGAGAGGCATACTGGGAGCAAACACAACAAGGCTCTGGCATTGTTTAAAGAGAGACTTTAAAACAATGTGAGCAAGTTCTGCTTTAATCTTTCTCCCTCCATGTGATTAGGTTTAACTTGGAGCGAGGTAAATGTGTTCACTTTCGGTTAAACCTTCATTTTCTTTTCTATTACCAGAAATAGCTAGGAAATTTACTTTCCAGTAACTTAGGTGTTTGACTCACACAGTAGCAATACTGGCAGGCATCAGGGCATGCTTACTTGGACAATTACAAAATGAGATCTTGAAACATAATAGCTTCCTCTATGTGGTCGCATTTGGAGTAATTAATACATTACACTTCCTCGGATTATCAAGTCTATCACCTGAGCCAATCCTTCTGTGAATCATAGTCTCTTTGTCTAGGTTTCTGTCCCTTTCACTGTCACAGCCAGGGAGAGGCTTTAGGGATTAGCAGACAAACTTGAGCTGAGTGAAAGCAGCTCTCCTAAAAAAACAATGGATCAACTACACACTGCTCCCCCCACCCCAGAGTTTTAGTCAACCCACCCACTATCACAGTTCCAAAAATAAAGCAGGGCTTTGAGCTGACCTGGCCTCCCCTAAGATGTGTTTGCAATCACGGTTTGAGAATTTCTAATGGCAAATATATTAAAGTTTATGCATACAATCGCTTACATCAGGGCTGGACCTTGGACTCAGCAATCTTTATAAGAAATGCAGAATGAAAATTAGCCAGCAAGGGTTGTCAGTTCACAGTTTTCATGGACAGACACATTAGCACATGGAGGAATAAACCATGCCAGGAAGCAAATTAGAATGTGCAAGGCTTGTCAGAAGCTTCCAAGGAATGCCATTTGCTCTGCAGTTTGAAAGTGATACCAAATTAACCTACAAGCCCATATGACCTCAAGGGCTGTACAAACAACAACATATTTACAGCCTGGAGTAATGAAGAAATCAAAAACTCTCCAATGAGAATGTGCTGAGAAGGTGAACTTAAGTGCAGCCAACCACTCCATAAATGCTTCCCAACACAGGCAGTCACCAAGAAAGTACCCCAAAGCTGGCCTTCCAGGTGGTACATTTGAAGGGAAGCCAACCCAGGGTTTATGAGAACATTTCCCAGACAGAGGCAAAGTTACAGACTCTTTTCCTCTAAAGTCATCCATAATGGGTGATTTCTTTTCCTTTTGAGAATGGTTATTTGGCAAAGGTTTCTTCCAGGGAAGTATACTTCACCCTAATTTCTGGCTAATGGTCCAGTTGAACTTACCCTGGCATCTGTGACCTTGAATTCCCTCAGGATATACTGAGGCATGTTGTACTCAGCCATTGGATCCACAACAAAATACTGGTATCTTGCAGATCGTTCTGCTGGCCAGTACTGATGACATTTCTCCTAAAAGGAGAGATTAATGTTACTCTAGGGTGCTAACAAAAATTTGCCTATCTAAATTTGTTCTCTTGTTAATACATTTCTAAAATCAAGGCAATTTCAATTGCATGCACCTATTCTTTTGAACCCCTAGCCTAAAGACAGGCAAATTATCTGGTGTTATGATTTGTTCTTTTTTTTTTTTTTTCAAAAAACATAGCACAGAGTCTGGCAAAACATACCTCCTTATTCAACACCAGTTGAACTGCATGTTTCAATTGGGACTGTGAATTATTTAAATAATTACATAAGTCCTTGGGCAATGCTCTCCATTTTGGTCTGTATTATATCAGCACATTTCTTTTAGACCATTGCGGTTTATACTTAGGAAATCACCAAGGATGAAGCAGAAGGAAGCCTGTGCATTGATCTAGTTCCATCTTAGCTGTTAACCGAGGAGTTGGGGTCCCGGGAGTTCTGGTGACTTTTATTGTTAGCCTTGCAGAATCAGCAGCCATATTAAGACAAGCCAGATAACTTCTTGGCCTTATATCTTTTTGCTTTCTAAATGAGCTCTAAAAATTGGTTTTTAGCCATAAGTCTATTATGTAATTTATAAAAAGAAGAGACAGAATGAGACTATCTCCAACAGCATGACAAACATGCTCTCAGGTGCTATACCTGGTGTCGGGGTGGTGGGGTTTCAAGTATCTGGGATGTTACTTTATGTGTACTTCACAATAATGATTTTTAAAAAAAACAGATTTGCACTTTAGAAATATTATGTGTCTTTCTAACACCATGCTCAATGGAAGGGGAAAATACAGCTTGGCTTAGGAACAAAAGTCATGAATTTAAGCTCCTTTACATGGGGAAATGATGACCATTTGGTCATAAAATTCTAACTGATTAACACAAAATGTAACTAGCTGAGAGTCCAACATAAGTCAGTGGGCACCACCAACTGACTTATTTGTCTCTATGACTGCATGTCACTGCACCCACAGTACTGAGTCTTACAAAAACTAGGTAAATTAGAAAGCTTGATGTGATTTTTCCAGATTGGGTGATACACTTACTCTGCCCATTTCTCTCAGCTTGGTGAGCATCACAACAATGGTAGAATTGTGTTCCCAAAGCATGCGCCAGAAGTCTTCAGTCGTCTCTGCTAAGGGCCCCTGGGTAGCAATGTAGGCTTTCTGTTGTCTGAGTAGAGAGAATGAAAAGAAAATGTTAAAGTACTTTGAGGACATGCGCAAATTGATTTGGGAATTGTTAACACCAATCCTAAATACATTATTAATTCAATTGCAAGGGATTCCCATTAGGATACATAATCAATAAGATCATTTAGTGCATGTTGGGGACCTTGAAAAATCAATTGAGTTGTTAATATTGTTATGTATGTCTTTATCTTTGTTATTTAAATTTAGTGCAGTGCTATTAGCTCAATTTCATGTGTTATACAAATCACTTAAATGCTGAGTTGTGTGACTTCATTTTCAAGAAACAATGCTCATATAATCTATTATGCTTATGAAAAGGGGGTCTAAAATAGCTGCTTATCACTTGCTAGATCTGAATGGTTTCTGAAAGAACAGGAGAGAAGGTCACTTTAAAAGAAGCAATAATGTACCCAGAGAAACCCTGTCTCGAAAAACCAAAAAATAAAAAAAATTAAAAAAGAAGCAATAATGGGAGAGTGAGGAGATGGGTCAGGGAGTAAAATGTCTGCTGTTCAGATCCTCAGCACTGATAGAAAGTGCTGAAAGTGTGTGTGTGTGTGTGTGTGTGTGTGTGTGTGTGTGTGTGGTTGTGTGTGTGTGTGTAGGTAGGTAGGTAACAGGTGGATGGCTAAATCTCACTGGCTAGCCAGTTCAGCTGAAGGGATGAGCTCTAGGTTCAAAGACCAAAATAATCTGCAAATCTCCAAAACAATCTGGCAAACAACTGAGGAAGACATGTAATGCTGATCTTTGGTATTCATATGCACCCCCCAGCATATCCACACTAGTATTGCACACATGCCCCCAACACACTTACACTGGTATAAACATGCACATACATCATACTCACCCACATGTACACACCCATATAAGCATGAACATACACCACACAAGCACACTTCTCCATTCCCACATGCAATAGCAACTCTCTTACTACTGCTTAATTCTATCTAAAATAAAAAAAAATAAAAAGGAACCACCCCCACCAAAGAAATGAATGATGATCTATTCAGAAAGAAAATGGCTTTGAATTGATAATAAATTCTTTGTGGTTTTAAATCTAGGACACATGCAATTATCAAGGCTTTGGATTGTCAGGGGAGTAGGGGTGGATACCTGTATCCATCAAGAAAACTGGCATTGATGTAATCGGAGCCTTCTACTCCTCGGATAGGTTGCAGGCACACCCTTGTGGATTCATATGGCATAATATTAACAAGGCGGTTTTTGAATTTATTACATGGAAGATTGGCACTGATGAATCTTGAGGTGTGAGCTTTTGAGCTGGCTAGACGCTGTTGAATTTAAAAAGAAAAAAAATCAAAAAGATAATTTTAGACAATGGTTTGAATGCAATGTGCCTAAGATGCCCTTTTCAGATATCAATCTTCTGTGTACTTGATAGTAAATATGCAAAGTGTACTTCCTTTTGGCTAATTATTCTATATTCCCCTCTGAATATTGTAAACATTGCAATTTGAGAACATTATTTCTGAATTTAAATTAGGATATCACATCAAGGGCCCCCAGTATTGTTAGGGAACAAAAAATAGAATAGAGAAAAAAAGAAGAAAGTGTTTCATAATCTGTTACCACTGAAGACTAAATGAACCCTGTACTTCAAAATGGGAAAGATAACGAAGTGAAGCCTATTTCAAAGACAAAATAACTTTCTGGAGAGTAACTGATTCATAGCCAATGCCGTACCTTAAATTCGAGCTCCATTCCGGTGACATTCTCCCCTGTTTCTATTTGTGTCAGCTTCTGAATGTAGGCATACAAGTTTCTAGCCGGCACTTCGGTATTTCCACATGTCACTGCTTCTAACAGCGCATCGTGGATAAAGATGTACTGGTCCTCTGTTTGCACCATGTAATTCCTCTGGGCTCTCATTAAAGTTACATGGCCATAAATATCTACAGTTTTTTCATGCTTTATTCTTTCTAACATGGCATCTATTACAATGAAACAGCCAGTCCGGCCAACACCCGCACTATAAGACAAACAGAAAAGGGGGAAAGCTCATATGAATTTAGCAAGAAACCAACATATAAGAAAATCTGTATCATTTCATTAACCACAACTCACACCTATGAATTTGACTCAAGTAGGTATTACAAGAATTTTCAATCAGAATAAAAAGATATTGAAGCACCAATGACTGGGAGATACATATATATTAAAACAAAATGAGCATGGTTCATTTCACTTCATATTATAGAAATGCTAAATCCATACTTAGTGCCATTTTGGTCATGTCACACAGTATAGGTATTATTATTATTATATTTATTTTACATTCTGACTGTAGCATCCCCTCCCACTTCTCCTCCCACTCTCTCCCCACTTGCTCCTCCCCACGTCAATACAGCCCTCCTCTGTATTTACCCAGAAAAGCACAGGCCTCCCATGGGCATTGACAAAGCATGGCCTATCAAGCTGCTGTAAGCCCAAGCACCTCCCACGAAAGATACAAACATTAATTAGGCTGTTCATTTTCAGAATAGTTTTTCAATTATTGGTTAATATCTATTTAGAGAGCCACATGTTCCAGCTCATGTGTATAACCCTAACACTTGGCATGTGGAGGCAGGAAGATCAGGAGTTTGAGCTAGCCTAGTAAGTTTGAGGCTAGTATGGAATATATAAAATCCAGTTTAAAAAACAAGGACAAAGATATCTAACTAGGCTTTTTAGACAAAACAATCTTACTCAATTTTTGATTGACAAATGAAAATGAAAGCAAAGTATCTTCTAAATAACTCAAGTATCTCTTATTGTAAAATTCTGTTTTTAAAACTAGTCAGGTGGGATTATGAAATTAATATGTGAAAATGTTGTACAGTGAAAATAATACAGTGTAGAATTAAGAGAAATATTAATAAATAACAATCAGCCAAGAGTGTGTGTTCCTTCTTATTTCCTTTTCTTTCAGAGTTGAATGTACTTGAAAATTCCCAGTGAAATTCAAGCATGCAGTATGGAAAATAAAGGCCTCAATCTTGGTTACACAATGAGATTTAAGGTAAACTTAAAACCCATTATGCATGGACTTATGGGTCAGTGTTCCAGTTGGAAGAAACACACTCAAAGAAAAGGACATGAAAGAGACAATCCATAATGGCTGGCAAGGTCTGCTGCTCCAAGGAGACAGGCACATTTAAGGGACTAGCTCAACAGAGGCAGGGGACTTAAAACACTGAGCATTCTCTAGTATGGAAAAGGATACTAAGAAAATAGCACACCTTTGTTCCTGCAGTGTCAAGGTAAGCCTTGTGTTTGCTTTGATCTAATACTTCAAGCTGAGCAGTTATGTGTCCAGAATGTATCAATGCAAAATGCCTTCCTCCTTTTCATTATCCATATTTGCCTCATAGTAAATATTTATTCAGCAAGAAGAGATATGTATTGCAGACTCTGTTCTAGTGTGTTTTCTCTTCCTCTGATAAGCACCATGAGAAACGTCAATTTGGCAGGGAGGGTTTATTTTAGCTTATAGCTTACAGACCATCACTGAGGGAAGCCAAGACAGGAGGACCTCGAAAGCAAGAACGTAAAGCAGAAACCAATGGAGGAATGCTGCCTTTTTGCTTGACTCCAGGCTTTCTTATACAGATCAGGCCCACCTGCCTTGGACATAGTACTGCCCAAAATCTGCTGAGTCCTCTTACAATAATTAGGATCAAGAAAAATGCCCCACAAATATGCCCAGAGATCATCTGATAGAGACAGCACTTCAACTGAGGATTCCTCTTCTAACATGTGTCAAGTTGACAAACAAGATTAGTCATTGCAGACTCCTGGTAATAGCTAGTCTCCTTCATTTATGGCATGCCACTGTCTGTTGGCATCTGTATACTTGTTTTTATTTATTTGTCTGTCCAATTGCAGTTCTATCTCTTTAGTCAATGAACAATGAAGTATTTTGCTCAGATAGGCAGGGGATGTGACTATATGGTGACTTTGTTCTTATCATTAAAGATTCTGAAGCCTATCAAAGAATATAATGATTTGGATAACTATGTTATAATAAAAGACAGGGCTGTGTTGGTATGGATTGGAAATGGAACTTGAAGGATGAAGAACTGAGGTGATGGACTAACACAAGAAGAAATGACTTCAAAGCATATTGCTGATAAGGAGTCTGTCAAAAGTACACAATGAATGAGATGGATAAAAACCAGGTCCAATCTCAAATGGACCGTTACTCTCTAGTGTCATGTGTCTATAAGCTAGTAAGAGAGCATATTAAAAAGTAATTAATTCAATTAGTGATCACTACATATCAAATCCAGCTTTGATAAAGGAACCTATTGTTTGTAGACTATACAAATTTCACACAATCACTAATTTAATATCACATATTTCTATATGTCCTGTACCAAAGGTCCCTAGATTCTAAAACTCTAAATTTTAAGTTCACAAACTAACATGGCATTGATAGACCCTGAATAAAAAGCCTTTTGGAAATGAAGAATGCTGTATTTTCTTCCTTCTAACTTGGCATGATTTCTAATGAATAATGGTATATGCAACTCTTTTTAGCACAAAACACACTATGAGTCTATCCAAGACTATATATCAAACTGACTATAGTTATGGCAGGAGCATTTTCTTAAAATTCCCTTGGAACCATTCAAATGTCTAGATGACACAGTGCTCTATAGTGTTACAGAAAGGTAATGCAGAATCTCAGGAGACTGAGAGGAATGATTCAAACTCCAGAGAGTTCAAGGCTTTTTATAGTAATGATATTAACCCCCTTCCAAAAAAAACGGAAGGGAAGCAAATCAAATATGTACCTGAGTCCAAATTAAAATGTTGTGAGAAGAGACAAAAGGGAGTCTATGAACAATATGTATTTTCACTGCACAGAGCATAGCAAACTATTTACTGTTATTCTCGTTGTCCATAGAGAAGAAAGGCAAGAAATGGACCCCCTTAGAATTTATGTGCTCTTGTTTTTTTCTGGGGTAGTCATTTTCAGGCATAAGGATTAGATACATGCCTGTCTTAAAACAAGTCTGAAAAATAAGGTACTTTTCCAGGTCCTAATATGACCTTGAGAATGTCATATAAACTTTGTGAGGATTTATTTATTTTCATTTTTATTACATCCAATAGTGATAATAGATCTAGTCAATTAATGAGTCTAATGATCCAGTAAGTCTTAAGGCTGAATTAAACTCATCAAGGTTTCTGCAAACACAGGAAGAAGCAACTCTTTTAGAAATATATTTTTCAGTTCTATCTCTGAAGACAACAAGGACACAAGCAACAAAATTCTAAGAAAACTGTAAAAGTCTTTTCTGTATTATTTGTGATTTAGCTTTTAAAACCTTGCTTTAATCTTCCTCTTCAGCATGTTCTAGCTTCTCTTTGTATTTCTAACTAATAATACTTCATGTTCAAGAAACTTACTGCTTTGACATAGGTTGCCATAGCAAATGAGATGGAAGCCAAGAGCCTTTCCACCATAGGTCTTGGTGTCTCAGTAGCACATAATAAATGCTAGTCTCCTTTTTAAATTAGCAATATCTGGGTCTTTTCCTGAAGCTACAGAACTCATGGCAGGTGGCAGAGCTAAGATTCAAGTTTGCCTTTCATTTTACCTAGGGAAAAATACCCTGATTGTGTTGTAGGCCACTCCTGCATAATAACTCTTATCAACAGACACTTATCTCTTGGGGAGTTTCCTTGAAAGGCCTTCTTCCTTCTAAGACACTAATTGAAGCAGTATGGGGAAACATTTGATACCATATTGGGCTTGATGATAGGAAAAGGAATTTTGTGATTATTCAAAGCAAAGAAGAACCCCCAAATAATAATATAATGATAGAAGAATTGTGTCATGGTTTTGTGTAATGAGTCTACTGATTGGTAGGGTGGAATTCCTATCACATCAGTGGTAAAAAGCAAAGATGAATTCTAAATGTCATCTGACTAAATTAGTAGACACTTCTGACTGTGTCTCAGTTTTGTGTTAGTTTTCAGTTTCAAAACAGTCTTATGTTGCTGTGTGCAGTACCAAAGAAAATAGCTTAAGGTGAGAAGGACTTTGGTTCTCTGCTTCAGAGGCATCAGCCCTCATAGTAGGGACAGTGAAGGAAAATATGTCACTCCATGGTGTCCAGGAAGAAAAGTGGTGATAGAAAAGTTAGGAAGAGAAGGAGGGGGAGTGGGAGGAAGAAGCAGAGGGAGAGAAAGGAAGAGGGAGATGGAAGGAGGGAGGGAAGAGGAGAGGGCAGAAAGTAGCAGACAGAGAGGTAGAGGAAGAGAGAAAATGACAGGCTGGTTTTTTGTTTTGTTTTGTTTTGTTTTTTTTTTTTTTTTTTTTTTTTTTTGGTATTCTTTCTTTGTTCTCCGCCTATGGATGGTTCTACAACCCCTTAGGTAGTCCTTGCAGAAACAACCTTATAGACATAACCAGAGATGCTTCACAACCTAGTCAGGTTGACAATCAGGATTAATCATCTGAATAATGTTTGGGTTTCATGTCTGTGATGAAGCCAAGCCTATTTCCCTAGTTGTCTCCTTTATAACCATGTCACTGATCTGTGTACCTCTGATAGGCCTGCAGAGGTGAATTGCATCTCTAACCTCTCATCCTTCTCTTATCAACAGTGTCTAAGCTCGTGAATCCTAAGAGGGCAGCTCTTCCTTGGGTATCCCTAAAATGTCCATCCCACACCATCAGAGCCTCAATAGCAGCAGGTGGGAGCCTCGGCAGCAGCTTCTCCAGGTGGCTCATTTCTTTGTAGCCTCTCTCATTGACACTCAGGCACAAATTTCCAGGAAGAAGTGCTCTCACATCACCTCATGCTCTAGACAATAGTGAACCGTATACCATAAACATTTGGCTTTTCTGTGCCAATTCTCTATCTCTTCTTTAGTTGGTGAGCTGGTGTGGTAAAAGGCAAATATTAACTTTTCATGATTTGTGCTTAAATCAAGGTATATTATAAAGGCAACATTTAAAATACATTTTTAGTC